AACCAGGAATTGTTTTGTTTTTTTTTTTCCCAGTCATTTATCCGATCCTCATAGTTGGTACTTTACCCCCCCCACCCCCCCAACCCCAGTGAATATTACTACCCTGTGAGCACCTTAGCATTGATCAGTTAGTGCCAATTTGATGGTGAGTACATGTGGTGCTTATTCTTCCATTGTTGTGATATCTTACTTCGGAGGATGGGCTCAAGCCTGTCCAGGATAACATAAGAGGTGCTAGATCACCATCGCTTTTTGTAATTGAGTAGTATTCCGTTGTATACATATACCATATTTTATTAATCCATTCATGGATTGAAGGGCACTTGGGTTGTTTCCACATCCTTGCAATAGTGAATTGTGCTGCCATAAACATTCGAGTGCAGATGTCTTTATTACAGAATGTCTTTTGTTCCTTTGGGTAGATGCCTAATAGTGCTATTGCTGGATAAAATGGTATTTCTATTTTTAGCTCTTTGAGGTATCTCCAAATTACTTTCCACAGGGGTTGTACTAATTTGCAGTCCCACCAGCAGTGTAAGAGTGTTCCTATCTCTCGACATCCTCTCCAGCATTTGTTGTTTTGGGACTTTTTGATAGAGGCCGTTCTCACTGGAGTAAGGTTATGTCTCATTGTGGTTTTGATTTGCATTTCCCTGATGATTAGAGATGCTGAGCACTTTTTTATGTTTGTTGGCCATTATTCTGTCTTCTTTGAAAAGTTTCTGTTTATGTCCTTTGCCCATTTATTGATGAGGTTGTTTGATTTTTTTCTTGTTGATTTTTTTTTGAGTTCTACATAGATTCTTATTATCAGCCCTTTATCAGATGTGTAGAAAGCAAATATTTTCTCCCATTCTGTAGGCTGTCTATTTGCTCTATTTGTCTATGATAGTTTCCTTGGCTGTGCAGAAGCTTTTTAATTTGATCAGGTCCCATTTATTTATTTTTGTTGCTACTGTGATTGCTTTGGGGATCTTCTTCATAAATTGTTTGCCTAGGCTGATGTCTGCAAGAGTCTTTCCTACATTTTCTTCCAGGATTCTTAAGGTTTCATGTCTTAGGTTTAAGTCAGTTATCCATCGTGAATTGATTTTTGTAAGAGGTGAAAGGTGGGGATCCAGTTTCAGTCTTCTGCATGTAGTTATCCAGTTTTCCCAGCACCATTTATTGGAAAGAGTTTCTTTTCCCCAGGATATATTTTTGTCTGCTTTGTCAAAGATTAGATTACCATATGCAGATGGTTTCATTTCTAGGTTCTCAGTCTTGTTCCAAAGATCTCTTTTCCTTTGCCAGTACCATACTGTTTTATTTACCATAGCCTTGTAGTAAAGTTTGAAATCTGGTAGACTGATACCTCCCAGTTTTTTCTTTTTGCTTAAGATTGCTTTGGCTATATGAGGTCTTCTCTGGTTCCATACAAAGCATAAAATTAGTTTTTCTAGATCTATAAAGAATGATGATGGTACTTTGATAGGGATTGCATTTATTCTGGACATTTTAACAATGTTGATTCTACCAATGCATGAGCAAGGTAGGTTTTTCCATCTCTTTACTTCTTCTACTTTTCTTAGTGTTTCATAGTTCTCCCTGTATATGTCACTCACGTCTTTCGTTAAATATATTCCTAGATATTTAATTTTCTTTGAAGCTATTATAAAGGGTGCTGTGTTTTTGATTTGATTTTCGGCTTAACTATTATTGATGTATATGAATGCCTCTGATTTGTGTGTACTGATTTTTATCCTGAGACTTTACTGAATTCATTTATCAATTCTAGGAGTCTCTTGGTTGAATCCTTGGGGTTTTCTAGATATCATATCATATCATTGGCAAAGAGTTAGAGTTTGACTTCTTCTGCCCTTATTTGGACACCCTCAATTCCCCTCTCTTGTCTAATTGCTCTAGCAAGAACTTTGAGCACTATGTTGAATAGAAGTGGAGACAGTGGGCAACCTTGTCTGGCTCCAGTTCTAAGCAGGAATATTTTCAATTTTTCCCCACTCAGTATGATATTGACTGTGAATTTATCATATATGGCCTTAATAATTTTAAGTTATATCCCATCTATGCCTATTTTGTTAAGAGTTTTTATTATGAAGATGTGCTGGATTTTGTCAAATGCTTTTTCTGCATCTATTGAGAGAATCCATATGGTCTTTGTTCTTTTATTTATGTGGTGAATTGCATTTATAGATTTGTGTATGTTGAACCAGCCTTGCATCTCAGATAAAGCCCACCTGGTCATTGTAAATTAGTTTTTAGATGTGCTGTTGGATTCGATTTGCAACAATTTTGTTGAGGATTTTTGTATCTATATTCATGAGGGATATTGGCCTGCAATTTTCTTTTTTTGTTGCGTCCTTTCCTGGCTTTGGTATCAAGGTGTGATATTGGCTTCATAGAATGAGTTGGTGAGGATACCATCTTTCTCAATGTTGTGGAATAATTTCTGTAGTATAGATAGGAGTTCTTCTTTGTATGTTTGGTAAAATTTGGGCATGAACCCATCTGGTCCGGGCCTTTTCATTTTTGGAAGGTTTTTAATTGCTGTTCCAATTTCTGTGCTTGATATTGGTCTCTTCAGGGACTCTATTTCCTCCTGGTTGGACTAGAGCCATGGTATGTTTCCAAGAATTTGTCCATTTCCTCCACATTATGTAGTTTTTGGGCATGTAGTTTTTATAGTATTCAAAGATAATGTTTTGTATTTCCGTGATATCTGTTGTGACCTCTCCTTTTTCATTTCTAAATGAGTTTATTAGAGTCCTTTCCCTTCTAGTTCTTGTCAATCTAGCAAGAGGGTTGTCAATTTTATTTATCTTTTTGAAAAAACAGCTTTTGGTTTTATTGATCTTCTGTATAGTTCTTTTGTTCTCAATTTCATTTAGTTCTGCTCTGATCTTAGTTATTTCTTTTCTTCTGCTAGGTTTATAATTGATTTGCTCTTCTTTTTCCAGTTCCTTGAGACAGTTTATTAGTTTGTTGATTTTTGAGCTTTCTGTTTCTTTGGATGTGAGCATTTAATGCTATTAATTTTCCTCTCAGGAATGCTTTTGGTGTATCCAACAGATTTTGATAACTTGTGTCCCCGTTATCATTTAGTTTGAAGAATCTTTTGATTTTCCTCTGTATCTCCACCTTGACCCAATAGTCATTCAACAATAGATTGTTTAATTTACATGACTTTGTGAAGTGGTGTTTCTGTTGAAATTGAACTCTAATTTTATACCACTGGGATGTGAAAAGATACATGCTACAATTTCTATTTTGAATTTGTTGCAGTCTGATTTGTGGCCTGGTATGTCATCAATTTTGGAGAAAGTTGCATGGGCTGATGAGAAGAATGTATATTTAGTATTATTTGGATGCAATATTCTGTAGATGTCTGTTAGAACCTTTTGTTCTACAACTCTGTTTAAATCCATTATTTCTTTGCATATTTTCTGTTTGGGAGATCTGTCCTGTTCAGTCAGCAGGGTGTTGACCTCCCCGGCTATTATGGCAATACTGTTTTTCATGCTATCTCAATCAAACAAGATTTGCTTTACGTATCTGGG